TATTGGAATTTCACGGCGAATGCGCCTTCATGATTGCGGATCATTTTTTGGTGTGAGTTCATGGCTGCGAAGCCGAATGTTCCCTTGTTGGATTCAAATGTCTCCTAACTCGACATTCTTCGACTCTCTCTCTCTCTCATCTCTCTCTGATTGGAATGACGAGGTGTTACGAGTTTGTCTCTCCTGTGAACCGAAGTGAACTCTTGTGACTCCCTGCGAAGAAGCACTTCTTCCGGAACTCTTCCATTAGTTTGCTGGGTAATCCCCGGAGGGAACCCCATCACCTTGTCTTGTGAACGGTGGATGCGGGTGTACAACCCTCCAATTGGTTTCTGACTTGTGCGCCCTTGTCATTTTCACACCTTATACGGTGGATGTATGTATAGCAATGCTTTTGTTTCTGCGTTGATTAGACCCAGAGCTCGGCGGAATTTTGTTCGAGAATGCAAGAGTGTTCAGATCTGTCGTTCTGAATGCACTGCCCATGCCATCTGCTTTATGTTGCACGACATCTGCAGACAGCCTATGGGGCAGCCTCGGAAAAGCCAGGCGCCTCGTGTTTTTGTTGATCTGGTCTGCTGAAACTGAGCCGCGGGTTGATCCCTCGGAACTCCAACCTGATTAATGCATGGTTGTGCGGCTTCTGTAAGATGCCTCCCTCGCGTCAGAAGGAAGGAAAATACTAGTTAGTTCTTTTTCGATTGTGCTTTTTGATGACGTCTCGAGTTTTTTTTTTTGCAAACTCCTTTTCATTGATTGATACGTGGACTAACAGCCGCTCCTCGATCGGGCGCCAGCCTTCTGTATCTCCCTCGCCAATGCGCCCCTTCCCTTACAACGAGGAAAGGACACGTGTATGCGAGTGGGACGTCCGAGAAGCTGTCGCACGGATCGACGGACAATATTACTTCCCTCCCAAAAATCGTTGTTCCGGTTTCGTGGATGCGGGCTTTGTCATTATCGATACGCACTTCCCACCCTACTCAGTATTGTTGCCATTTAACGAGCTGATCGTCATTCCATGGACGGCAGTGGCGCCCCATTGGCCTCGAACCCTGTGCACTGAGTGCCAGCGCTTCGATCGCTACGAATCAAAGGGCTTCCAGTACCGGATACGGAGTGAAGACGAGCACAAGGAAAGACCCACACGGCTGAGACCATCCACGTCAGACTCGGAACTGACCAACGAGCGACGTCGGGACTTGATACAAAAACGGGACATGCGGAGTGTACCGAAGCCCTTCCGCTCTAAACGAAGATCCGTAGCGCGGTGGGAAGCTCGACAATACTTTTTGGATTGAATTTGGATTTTTCTCTTTTCGCGCCGTGCCCGCGTGCGCATTCAGCGACGCGCGAAAGCAACCGACTTACTTCATCAGGCCAACACGGGGGATTTCAGTTCTGTCTGTGTCCCCACCAGGGTTGTCGAACCCCGGCCCCGGGACCCCGCCGGGGTTCCGGGGTTCCGGGGGTCGGCACCCGGGACCCCGGCCCCCTGTAGGGGAAAAAAA